AGGGAGGAAGAAGAGAAGGAGAAAGGGATAAAGGATAAGGAGGTAGGAAGGAGTGAAGGAGATAAGAAAAAGGGAGGAATAATAGAAGAGGAGAAAGAGATAAGGGATAAGAATGAAGGAGGGATGAGAGAAAGAGATAATGAATGAAGGAGGGAAGTAGATAAGAATGAGGAATAATAAGGAGAAGGGAAGGAGGAAAGGGAATAATAATAAGACAAAGAAAAGGGAGAAATGGTTTTTTTTTCTAGAATTTTGTTCATTTGTTCACTACTGATGAAAATAAGATCATGATAACTTGTTAATTTGTTCAATACTAATGATGAAAAATGTACTTACGTTAAGATCACTTGTTCAGTAGTGATGAAAATGTATTAATGTCATGTTCTCTTGTTCATGAATGTTGAAAAATTTTCTCTTGCTCACTAGTGATGAAAAATGTACTAAGTTTATGTTCACTTGTTCATTACTGATGAAAAATGTACTAAGGTCATGTTCACTTGTTCATTACTGATGAAAAATGTACTAAGTCTATGTTCACTTGTTCATTACTGATGAAAAATGTACTAAGTTTATGTTCACTTGTTCATTACTGATGAAAAATGTACTAAGGTCACGTTCACTTGTTGATTAGAGTTGAAAAATGTACTAAGGTCATGTTCACTTGTTCACTTGTTCAATCCTGTTCATCTGTTCTTTAGGGTGATCACATTCAAGACAGGAGGAACTTTATAGAATTTGCGCAAAAGAGAGAACTCGTTTACACAATCCGTGGCGCTATGTAAGTACTGTTTTGCGTCATGTAAGTATTTCGGATATGTAAGTATTCCGTGGCGGTATGTGCGTATTGCTTTGCGTCATGTAAGTATTTCGGGCATGTAAGTATTCCGTGGCGGTATGTGCGTATTGCTTTACGTCATGTAAGTATTTCGGGTATGTAAGTATTCCGTGGCGCTATGTAAGTACTGTTTTGCGTCATGTAAGTATTTCGGATATGTAAGTATTCCGTGGCGCTATGTAAGTACTGTTTTGCGTCATGTAAGTATTTCGGGTATGTAAGTATTCCGTGGCGCTATGTAAGTACTGTTTTGCGTGATGTAAGTATTTCGGGTATGTAAGTATTCCGTGGCACTATGTAAATATTATTTGTTTTACGTTGTGTACGTACTTTGTGTTATGTAAGTATTGTTTTGCGCTGTGTAAGTATTCCCCTTAGCTATGTGAATTTTCCGCAACGTTATGTATGCATAATTCTGCGTTGTGAGCGTATTGATTTGCGCCATGTAAGTACAGTTTTGAGCTGTGTAAGTATTCCGGTGTGCTATGTAAGTATTATTTTGCGTTATGGAAGTATAGTTTTTAGTTATGTGCGTATCGATTTGCTCTCTGTAAGTATTGGTTTGTGCTATGTAAGTAACTCGTTGCTCTGTGTAAATATTGTTCTTCTTTATGTAAGTATTGTTTTGGGTTATGTAAGTTTTTCTTTTCGTTATGTGAGTATTGGTTTTCGTTATGTATGTATTGGTTTGCGTTACGTAAGTATTTCTCTGAGGCTGTGTACATTTCATGCTATATATTGTGTATATATTTTCTGTATTCTGTGTTCTATGTCCTCTCTCTTTCTCTCTCTCTCTCTCTCTCTCTCTCTCTCTCTCTCTCTCTCTCTCTCTCTCTCTCTCTCTCTCTCTCTCTCTCTCTCTCTCTCTCGCTTTCTCTCTCTCTCTCTGTTTGTCTTTCTGTATATCGTTTTTTCTGTCTCTCCCTCCCTTCCTCCCTCCCTCTCTCTCTCTCTCTCTCTCTCTCTCTCTCTCTCTCTCTCTCTCTCTCTCTCTCTCTCTCTCTCTCTCTCTCGCTCTCTCTCTCTCTCTCTCTCTCTCTCTCTCTCTCTCTCTCTCTCTCTCTCTCTCTCTCTCTGTTTGTCTGTCTGTATATCGGTCTCTCTCTCTCTCTCTCTCTCTCTCTCTCTCTCTCTCTCTCTCTCTCTCTCTCTCTCTCTCTCCTCTCTCTCTCTCTCCCTCTCTCTCTCCCTTTCTATCTATCTTTCTATCCATCTCTATCCCTCTCTCTCTCTCTACCCTCCCTCCCTTAATCCCCCCTCATTTCGCACCCCCCCACCCCCCCACTGCCATGCCAACACACGTATTTCAGCATACGTATCCCCCACTTTAGCCTCCTTTTGCCTCTCTCACACTTCACCCTCCCCGCCCTGTTTTCTCTCTCCCCGACCAGATACGCTCCGACGAATCCCGACCCGACGGCACACGCTTCGAAGTCGTGTTCCTCCTCGACGAAGAAGTCCCCTTCCTACTCGGTGGTGGCCTACGAGAGCGAATTCGACTCCGACCTCTACTTCGACTCCGATCTCGACTCCGACGGGCAGTACCGGCGCAGCATCACGCCCTGGCAGGAGATCGACGACCCGGAGAAGAGAGAGAGAAGGAACATCTACACGAGGAAGGCCTGGCGGAGGGACGTTCCCGTGATCTGGTGGGAGGTTTGGAAT